TCCAGTAAGTAAAAACAGAAAAGAATAATATTCAATGAAATAATTATTTTTTTTAATTGTTTTATTTTTTAGAGAGGTTTTTTTTGCCATAGGGCGCGTGCGCTCGCCAGGCAGACAGAGACATAGAGACAGAAAGCGAGAAATCACACCCCAGGGGGGATGGCCACGCCGCAATCCCTTCTCCTCCATTCTCCTCTCGGGATCTTGGGCACGCACGCACACGTGCCCGGCGTGAGTTTTAAGCCACCAGGTTTGGGACGTGAACCGTGGTTGACTACATGGGAGTCCAGCAACATAGCCATTACGCTAACTTTTGGTCCCAATAATTATTGTTTTAAACGGTGTTTGTGAGCAGCCCAGCCCCAGGGCCGTAGGCCGGGCTGTGGGCTTTGGGCTGTGGGCACACGAGGAGCCCAGGTGTAGGCCCGGTGACCACGCAGCACGTGCACCCAGCCTCGGGCGTACCTGCATTCTGCCAGCGTGGAAGGCGTGCGGGGTCACAGCGTAGGGTACCTGTCTATCTCTGTCTCTCTTTCTCCCCCATCATGAAATTTAAAACGTTACCAGAAAACTACACTGGGGGCTGGCCACAGAGCCCAGTGGTTGAGGAGCAGGATCCTTGTGTTCCAGGCCCTCAGGGCTGGAATTGGAACCATGGAGGGCCAAGTGGTTTCCTGACAGGATGGAGAGCCGGAGGAGAAGGGATGGCGACAGAGCACTGCCCCGCCCCTGCCGGCGAGCACGCATGCCCCCCTCCAGTCCCGGACACCCCTCACCACAGCTCTCGCAGACCTGGGGTAGCCCTGGAGCCGCTCCTCCCTTCCGCTCTCCTCTCCGACTGCCTTGGCCTCTGCACCTGCTATTCTCTCTCTCACTCGCTCTTTTTCAGTCGCCAGAGGTGTTCGCTCTTACTAGAGAGCCGGGGTGGCGGGCCGAAAGCAGCCCTGAGGGGCGTGATTGCACACAGCCCGGCTGCTCCAGTCCCCCCGGGATTCGGACCGCACGCTCATGGGCCCGCAGTTGGCCATGTGGGACCCGGGGCTACGGCCAGCCCAGCATCCGCAGTCCGCGTCCGGTCAGCATTCTCCTACGGCAGTGTCCCCAGTGCACACTGCGGCTGCTTCCCCCACCCTTATTATTATTATTATTATTTTGTTTAACTTTATTTATTTTAATTTGACCAGAGAGGGACAGAGTTGGGGGAGTGAGAAAGCAAGCCCCCAGGTCCAGGACTAGAACTACAGTAGGCTATGTGGGAGTCCGGTGTGCCCACTACCACACCCCGTCAGCCCCCACACCCCTTCTTAAATTTATTTATTTCTTCCATGAGCAAGAGAGGCAAGGAGACGGGCACCCCAGCAGGGTCTTGGCACCACGACCCCCAGCTGCGGCCAGCCCCGATCACGGGTGCGTGTGTCTGGGGTACTCGGGAAGTCTCTGGACGAGCACCCAGAATCTGTGTGAGCCAGTCTTCCAGAGCATGGGGTGTTACCCCTGGGCCACCATCCAGCCTCCTCACACCTCCCCCCTTGTCAGCCTTACACTCACCTCATGCCTGGCCTGCCCTGCACGTGTCCCTACCCTACATGCAGCCTCCTTCACAAACGTCCTGGGGCCGGTCAGGGTTCAGGCCCCTCACCCTCCACTTCCTCTTCTTCTTTTAAAGACTTATTTTTTTACTTTTTTAATTTGACCAAAGAGGGACAGAGAGAAAGAGAGAAAAAGCAAGCCACCATGTCCGGGACTCGAACCATGGTTGGCTGTGTGGGAGTCTAGAACCCTCAACCACCACACTACCTGCCGGTCCCCTCTGTCCACTCCTTAGGAGCACAGTGGCTATCCGGCAATAGGGTGTGGCAGTTTCTAACTCTTCTTTTGAAAATTTGTTGTGTTTTATTCTGTTTGGTTTGCTACAGGGTGCGTGCTCTTGCTGCAGAGAGACAGAGAGAAAAAAGTGGGAAATCACCCTGGGGGGAACAGCCACACTGCAGTCCCTTCTCCACTCTCCTCCTGGGACTTGGCATGAATGCCCACGTGCCCAACGTGATTTTCAAGTCGCTAGGTCCAGGACTTGAATCATGAAGTGGGTCTATGGGATCCAGCCTCCACAAGACCTGCCGGCCCAAGGTATAGCTGTCTTTTTGTGTTGTGTTGGGTTGTTTTGAGAGATTTTTGCTATAGGGCATGTGCACTCACTGGAGAGACAGACAGAAAGCGCAAAATCACCTCCCAGAGGGGACGGCCACACTACAATCCTTTCTCCTTCGTTCTCCTCTCGGGATTTTGGCCACACACACGTGCTTGCACGTGTGCATGCGCCTGGCATGTTTCAAGTTGCAGAGTCCAAGACTCAAGCCGCAGTTAGCCATGTGGAAGTCCAGCAATGTAACCATTACGCCATCTGCTGGTCCCAATATGGCAGTTCCATAACCAGAAAAATCATATATTTTTAAAGAGGTTTAGGTGTGCTCAGTGGGGAGAACAAGGGACAGAGACAGTGAGAGGGAAGATGAGAAATCAGCCCCCGGGGGGATGGCTACATCAGGCCCAGGATCTTGCACACGCGCTCAGCACGATTTTCAAGCCACGGGTCCCGCCCTCGAACGGCAGTCGGCCATGAGGCTGTCCAGCTACGCCATCTGCTGGCCAGAACAATCACATGTTCCTGATGAAGAGGAAATAACAGGAAATAGTTTCAGTTTGTCCTGAGTTGCCTCTCATGAGGCATCGTTGCTTCTCCTATTTAGACTGTGAGGCTCTTCAGAAGAACTCCCTCATGACTTTCCAGAAATGGTGTGGAGCCCAGAATGCCCAATTCCCTGGGGGGAGAGGGAAAGAAGGATTTTTCTTGAAAATGGAGGAGGGACCAGCAGTTAGCGTAATGGCTATGTTGCTGGACTCCCATGCAGTCAACCCCGGTTTGAGTCCTGGACCGGCGGGTGTGTGTGCGTGCATGCCTAAGGTCCCGAGAGGAGAATGGAGGAGAAGGAATTGCGGCGTGGCCATCCCACCGGGGCGGGGGGGATTTCTCACTTTCTGTCACTTTCTGTCTCTCTGTCTCTCTCTGTCACTCTGGTGAGTGTACGTGCCCTATAGAAAAAAAAAGAAAAAGAAAAAAACAAACCTCTCCAGAAAATGGAGAAAATGGATAGATGTAGGGAATAGACAGACAGTGAGCCAGCTCCCTTCACTCTCTCTTCTGAATCCCTGGAAATTGGTTTTACTGGGGCCGGCGGGTGACTCGGTGGTTGAGAATGCTGGACTCCTGCATGGCCGACTGCAGTTCGAGTCCCAGACCTGGCAGCTGGCTTTCTCATTTTCTCTCTCTCTCTCTGTCCCTCTCTGGTCAAATTAAAAGAAATAAATAATAAAAGAAATTGGCTCTCCCCTCCCTGTGACGGTGTTGTGGAAGGAGCCCGAGGAGTGGTTTGAGGGAGCTCGGACTGTGGAGAGCTAGGTTAGCAGGTTAGCAGCGTCTTCCTCCTGCCATTGGCTTACGTCCGGCTGCTAATCCCCATATTTCCCCAAAACATCCACTGCCCCCACTCTGGCCTTGTCCTCCATCCCTGACTCCTGCTTGCTGTCCTCTCAGCCTCCAGAGTCTTTGTTTTTTTTTTAAAGAATTATTTATTTTATTTAATTTTTCCTTTTTTTTTTTTTTTTGGAGAGGTTTTCGCTATAGGGCACGTGCGCTCGCCAGACAGAGAGAGAGAGACATAGAGACAGAAAGCGAGAAATCACCCCCCAGGGGGGATGGTCACGCCGCAATCCCTTCTCCTCCATTCTCCTCTTGGGATCTTGGGCACACACGCACACGCCCGGTGTGAGTTTTAAGCCACCGGGTCCAGGACACAAACCGCGATCGACTACGTGGGAGTCCAGCGACACAGCCATTACGCTAACTGCTGGTCCCCCCCCCCTTTTTTCCCCCCAATTTCCTACAGGACACATGTACTCACCAGAAAGAGATGGAGAGAGAGGGAAAGTGAGAAAGCAAGCCACCAGGTCCGGGTCTCAAACTAGTCAGCCATGTGGGAGTCCAGCGTTTCAACCACCACTCCACTGCTGGCCCCAATTACAATATTCTGTTTCTTTTTTTAAGAGAGGGTTTTGCTATAGGGCACATGTGCTCACCAGAGAGACAGAAAGTGAGAAATCCCCCCCCGACCAGAGGGTGACCAGGCCTCAATCCCCCTCTCAGAATCTTGGGCACACACACATGCGCCTGGCATGAGTTTAAGCCAAGAGCCCCAGGCCAGCTCTGAGGGAGTCCAGCAATGTAACCATTCCGCCATCTCCTGGTAACGGGGCTCGGCGGCCCACATTGTAACGTCCATTGTTAATTGTCCAGCAACGTGGCCATTACACCATTGCTTTTTTTGTTTAAGAATTATTTTGGGGACCAACAGTTGGCATAATGGCTATGTCACTGGACTCCCATGTAGTCGACCGCAGTTCGAGTCCCGGACCCGGTGGCTTAAACTTCCAGGTCTGTGTGCGTGTGTGCCCCAGATCCTGAGAGGAGAATAGAGGAGAAGGGATTGCGGCGTGGCCATCCCCCCGGGGCATGATTTCTTGCTTTCTGTCTCTCTGTCTCTCTGTCTTTTTGGTGAGCACACATGTCCTATAGGAAAAACCTCTCCAAAAAAACCCAATAATTGTTTTGTCTAACTTTATTTTACTTTCTTTATTTTAATTTGACCAGGGAGGAACAGAGAGAGAGAAAGAGAAAACCCCCAGATCTGGGACTCGAACCGTGGTAGGCTTTGTGGGAGTCAGCGCTCTTAACCACCCGGCCACCTGCCAGTCCCCGCCCGAGCAGTATTCCTGGAGGAGGTGCGGGCGCGGTTGGATAGTACCATCTGCTGAGACAGCAGTGGGACAGGGACAGCAGGAAGAGGGTGAAGACGGGGACTCTGCCGATGAGGGGGAAGGGCTCTGCTCACGGCCCCCTCGGCATTTCCCAACCTCCCGCAGCTTCCTGTCCGCCCGCAGCGGTGGGTGGCGGAGGGCGGCGGGTGGTGGGGTGGGCATGAGAAAGCAGTGTTCGTCAGCCGTGCCCTCTCTGTGGCCCTGCAGCAGCCTCTCCCTTCCTCCCCATGACCGGAGGGCCAGCCTGTGGGGCCTGCCCCCTGTCCTGTGCATAGGGCCCACCTGCTCTCCAGCCCCTCTCCTGTGGGGCCGGCGGCACCCCCATGCTGCCGGGCATGGGCAGGGACGGCCTCTGCCGCCTCTCGGCCTACCTGGAGGAGCTGGAGGCCATGGAGCTGAAGAAGTTCAAGTTCTACCTGGGCTCGGGGGCGGGCCTGGGGCAGGGCACGATCCCCTGGGGACGCATGGAGACAGCCGGGCCCCTGGAGATGGCCCAGCTGCTGGTGGCCCACTGCGGAGCCCAGGAGGCCTGGCGGCGGTCACTCCGCATTTTTGAGCGGATCAACAGGAAGGACCTGTGGGAGCGAGGACAGCGGGAGGACCCGGTGAGCGGTAAGGAGGTGGCCGCCGCGCCGGGACCCACCGACCGCCTTTCCTTTGCTCGCCGTTTGGTTGTGCAACGGGCACTCATTTCTCTCTAAGCCACGGTCCAGCCCGGCCCACCCAGCCCACCTGGGTCGCAGGCCATGCGTGCACCCGTGTGCTCAGGGAGGTCCCGCGACGGGACCCAGACCTTCCCTGTGGGGTCCGGTCGTGCCACCCGAGCGTTGATGTCTTAGGCTCTTAGAAGACACAGCCCGTGAAGTAGGGCCGTGTTCATTGGTGTGACCGGGACACGGGGGTCCTGCCGGCACCCAGTGTGTGCATTCGTGAGTGGGCAGGTGGTGGGTAACACGTGGCCGTGGCTGGAGGGGGCCAGACTCTAGGCTGCCCGAGCTTCTTGGCTGAGGGGACTGAGTGCACGAAGGCGCCAGGCTGGGGAGCAGGGCGGGATGGGGCAAGCAGGGGGAGCCCGGCACCTGCAAGGCCACTCCGAGGGGAGGCCGGCACTCTGCCCGCACAGCTGCCCCCCCACGTGGCTGATCTTCCTAACCTGCTCTTCCAGATCCCCCGCCTGGTGGCCTGTCCTCGTGTGGAAGCCAGTCAGCAAGCCCTCTGGAGGTCTCTCCTGGCCCCCCGAGCAAAGGTGAGCCATCAGACGCCTTGGCTTAGACCCCAGCCCCAGATCCGAACCCCTGCCCACCGGACACTCACCGTGCACCCTCGGACAAGCCGTTAGGTCCAGGTCCGGTTCCCGTCTGTAGAATGCAGCTTCTCTCTCCTCCCTCCTCTCAGGGGCCTGGGGGACCAGGGCACTGATGCTAACATGGGAAGCTCGGAAACGCGTCCCACAGAAACGGGCCTGGGCCACACGTCAGATTCGCAGTGTCCTAGCTGCGGGTGCCCTCAGCCTTGACGCTGACCCTGGCAGCCAGAGGTGGCTGTCCCAAATATCCAGTGTGTCCCCTCGCCCCATTGCTGGGTTTTCCCTTTAAACCAACTCAGGGCCGGCGCTGTGACCTACAGAGAAGGACGTTGGAGCCTGGATGGCCACTGCACCGTCGAGCCCTGCACCGCGGCTTAAGAAATATGCCAGCACATGTGTGCCCCAAATCCCGCGGGGCTGGGGAGATAAAAAAGAAGGGGCTGGGAACCAGCAGTTAGCGTAATGGCTATGTCGCTGGACTCCCACGTAGTCGACCGCGGTTCGCGTCCCGGTCCCGGTGGCTTAAAACTCACGCCGGGCGCGTGTGCGTGCGTGCCCAAGATCCCGGGAGGAGAATGGAGGAGAAGGGACTGCGGCGTGACCATCCCCCCTGGGGGGTGATTTCTCGCTTTCTGTCTCTCTGTCTCTCTCTGTCTGTCTGGCGAGCGCACGCGCCCTATAGTGAAAAAAAAAAAAAAAAACCTCTAAAAAAAAAAATAAAAATAAAAATAAAAAAGAAGGGGCGGTGGCGTGACCACCAGGGGAGGGTGCTCCCCACCACCCGTCCCCGGCCTCCCCATCTCTGCTGAACACACGCACCTTCGGCAATACAAAAGGGAAAGAAGTAAAACCTGCTCAGGACACATTTTCCAGCCCCGGAGTCTGCACCTCCAGGCTGTGGCCCTCCTGGGTTGTGACACAAGCCCAGATCAACTCTTTGGTTTTATTCTAATTCATGCCCTGTTTCTTTATGGGTCAAGGTAGTTTTTTAAACATAAAAATAGAAAACCAGCAGGTAGCAATAATGGTTGTGTCTCTGGACTCCCATGTAGTCAACCGTGGTTCAAGTCCTGGACCTGGAGCCTTAAAACTCACGCCAGGTGCGTGTACATGCCTGCCCAGGGTCCCAAGTCGAGAATGGAGAAGGGATTGCGGCGTGGTCATCCCCTCCGGGGGGTGATTTCTCACTTTCTGTCTCTGTCTCTCTCTGTCTCTTTGGTGAGGGCATGTGCCTATAGCAAAAATCTCTCTAAAAAGAAAAAGAAAAAAAACTCTCAAAAAACAAGTAAAAAGAGGGTCAGCCGTTGGCATGCTTGTAAGGCACCTGGATCTCACATGGCTTACTACGTAGTTCTAGTCCTGGATCCGGCAGCCTGAGAAACACACTGGGCGTGTGCACGTGCACCCCAAATCCTGAGAGCAGGGGAGTGGGGAGGGGCCGCGGCACGCTGTGCCCCACGGGGGTTGGGAGACGGTGTCTCTGTCCTCTCCCTGAGTCTCTCCAGTGAGTGCATGCCTCCTCTAGCAACAGAAAAAAAGTCCAAAGAAAACAAGTGAAATGAATTTTAGCAAACTATTCCACTGACCCTGTACTCTCAGTAGGAGGTGTCCCCAGCCAGCTGTGGTGGCACAATGAGACTCAAGGGCTGTGGTGCGAGGCCACTTCGGGTCTCCACGCTGAGCCCTGGTGCTCACAGGCGTGCACGCGCAAGGCTGCAGCCGGGCTGGCTGAGCCTGGGGTGGTGGTGGCGCGAAACCTGTCGGGTGCCAGCCTTTCTCTTCTCCTGTCTCCCTCTCTCATGGAAGAAATAAGTGAGTAAACTAAAAAAAAAAAAAAAAAAAGTTTTTAAATCTGAAACATTACTGGGCCAGCAGGCGGCACAGAGGTTAAGGTGGCTGGATCCCACATGGCCAACAGCATGGTCCAAGTCCTGGATGGACCTGGTGGCTTGAAAGTCACTCAGTATGTGTGTGTGCGTGCCCAGAATCCAAGAGGATGATGGAGAAGGGATTGCAGTGTGGCCATCCCCCAGAGTCGTTCCTCCTCCTCCTTCTCTCTCTCTCTCTCTGGTGAGCTCACATGCCCTAAACAAACAATTCATGGAGACGCTAACAGGGAGTTGAGAAATATACAGAGACACGTTCGTCTCACACGTAATCGCAGAAATGCACATTAAAACAACAAAAAGATAGCATTTCACAAGTTTTAAAAAGAGAAGAAAAAAAAAGATTCCTTTTTAAAAATACGGAAACAGGAATCAGCAGATGACGTAATGGTTACGTTACTGGACTCCCACGTAGTGGAAGAAAGAAGAAGAAAGAAAGTTTGGCAACTAAAAGAGATTTTTTTTTTTTTAAGGTTTTTGCTATAGGACGTGTGCTCGCCAGAAAGACAGAGAGAGAGACAGAAAGCGAGAAATCACCCCCCAGGGGGGATGGCCACGCCACAATCCCTTCTCCTCCATTCTCCTGTCGGGATCTTGGGCACACACACACATGCACCCGGCGTGGGTATAAGCCACTGGGTCCAGGACTCAAACTGTGGTCGACTACATGGGAGTCCAGCTAAAAGAGATGCTTGAATGCAACTTTTTCTGAGAATCAAAACAAGTGCCCCCCAAGATCCACATGAGCAAAATACGGTGACGCATGGCTTAGCAATGGGGGACGGGGACGCTCTGAGAGGTGCCTCGCTGAGGCCCTGCTCCTGAGCTGCGTGGGGCACCCACTGAGTAGCCACCAGGCTCCAGGCGACACACACCCTTCCGGTAACCGCAGAGAATCGTAAGGTCACAAAGGGTCATCCGACCAGGAACCCAGACCTTATCTGGCTGCCAGGAAGGACCTCGAGAGAAATGGCCCTTCAAAAACATCTTCAAAAACGAACTGACCTGGGCCAGCTTCCAAGACTGGTGGTCAAGGCAGCTAGGTCTCACATGGCCCAACACCGGTTCAAGTCCCAGACCCAGTGGCCTGAGAAACATGCCAGTCGTGTGTGCACGTATGTCCCACATCCCGACAGGAGAGATCATGGGGTGACCATGCCCCACTGGGGATGCTCTTACCCCCTTCTCTCTCTGGTAAGCTCACACACCCACAGGCGGGAAAAAAAAAAAATGGCATGGCTGCGTTCCCCTTCTTCAGAGCAGACGTGCACCTGCTGTTCTCAAACCGGCCAGACAGCAGGAGGCTTCTCAAACCCCACGCCGGGCCTTGTTAGACGGGCGATCTCTGTTTCAATAGCCCAGACCCGGGCCCAGGCCGTGGGGTCCGCGGGTTCGCCAGCTCAGCTCCCTGCTAACACCGCTGTGCGTGAGCCGCCTCGCCTCCAGGCAGGGGCGCAGACCCCGCCACCCAGGCCCCCTGCACCGAGGTCCCGGCTGCCGGTGGGAAGGGAAGAGCTTCTCACAGAAGCTCCATCTAGGAAACTGTGGCACGGGTCTTGCGGAACAGGCAGGCCCTAGGCCACGGCCTGGCTGAGTTAGTGGCTTTCTGAAGGCTGTGCTCAACTCCCAGGCCCTGCCCGCTCCCCGCCCTCAGATCCCCGCGAGAGCTACAAGGAATACGTGCGCAGGAAGTTCCGGCTGATGGAGGACCGCAACGCGCGCCTGGGGGAGTGCGTCAACCTGGGCCACCGGTACACGCGTCTGCTGCTGAGGAAGGGGCACTCCAATCCCATTCGGGCCCAGCAGAAGCTCTTGGACACGGGCCGGGGACACGCGAGGACCGTGGGGCACCAGGCCAGCCCCATCCAAATAGAGACCCTGTTCGAGCCCGACGAGGAGCGCCCGGAGCCCCCGCGCACCGTGGTGGTGCAGGGGGCCGCAGGGATCGGCAAGACCATGCTGGCCTACAAGGTGATGCTGGACTGGGCCGACGGGAGGCTCTTCCGGGGCCGGTTCGATTACCTCTTCTACATCAACTGCAGGGAGGTGAACCAGGGCGCTAGCCTGCAGAGCGCGCGCGACCTCCTCTCCGCCTGCTGGCCCGAGCAGGGCGCGCCCCTCCCGGAGCTCCTCCGCGCGCCCGAGCGCCTCCTGCTCATCATCGACGGCTTTGACGAGCTCAAGCCGTCCTTCCACGACCCTCGGGGCCCCTCCAGGCGCCTCTGCTGGGACGAGAACGGGCCGGCGGAGCTCCTCCTCGGCAGCCTGATTCGCAAGCAGCTGCTGCCCGAGCTGTCGCTGCTCATCACCACGCGGCCCACGGCCCTGGAGAAGCTGCAGCGCCTGCTGGAGCACCCCCGGCACGTGGAGGTGCTGGGCTTCTCCGAGGCGGAGCGGAAGGAGTACTTCTACAAGTACTTCCAGCACCCCGAGCAGGCCGGCCGCGTCCTGGACTTGGTGAGGGACAACGAGCCGCTCTTCACGCTGTGCTTCGTGCCCCTGATGTGCTGGGTGGTGTGCACCTGCCTCCGGCAGCAGCTGGAGGGCGGGGGGCTCCTGCGGCAGACGCCCAGGACCACCACCGCCATGTACATGCTCTACCTAATGAGCCTGCGGCAGCCGCGGCCCGGGTCCCCGGCCCCCCAGCCGCCGCCCAACCAGCGAGGGCTGTGCTCCTTGGCGGCCGACGGCCTCTGGAACCAGAAGATCCTGTTCGAGGAGCCGGACCTGCGGAAGCACGGGCTGGCCGGTGCCGACGTCTCGGCCTTCCTCAACATGAACGTCTTCCAGAAGGACATACACTGCGAGAAGTTCTACAGCTTCATCCACTTGAGTTTCCAGGAGTTCTTTGCGGCCATGTACTACGTCCTGGACGGCGGCGACGGGGACAGTGCGGCAGGCCCGGACCACAGCCTGGCCAGGCTGCTGTCTGAGTACAGCTTCTCAGAGAGGAGCTTCCTGGCGCTCACCGTGCGCTTCCTGTTCGGGCTCCTGAACGAGGAGACCAGAAGCTGCTTGGAGAAGACTCTGTGCTGGAGGGTCTCCCCGCACACCAGGGCCGAGCTGCTGGAGTGGATCCGCAGGAAAGCCGGCAGCCAGGGCTCCACCCTGCAGGACGGCGCCTTGGAGCTCTTCAGCTGTTTGTACGAGATGCAGGACGAGGGCTTCACCCAGCAGGCGCTCAGCCACTTCCAGGTGGTGGTGGTCAGCCACATCGCCAGCCGCATGGAGCACATGGTCTGCTCATTCTGTGCCAAGAACTGCAGCAGCGCCTGCGTGCTGCACCTGTACGGGACTGCCGACGGGGCCGGCGACCGAGCCGAGGAGGATGCGCCCGGCAAGCCCTCCGGGACCATGTAAGTGAGATGTCGGTTCATGCCCCAGGCAACCCAAATGCATAGGATTTTCTTTTCCTTTTTAATTATTTTTTAAAGAATTATTTATTTATTTATTTATTTATTTATTTATTTTAATTTGGCCAGAGAGAGAAAGATGGAAAGTGAGAAAGCAAGCCACTAGGTCCAGGACTCGAACCCTGGACAACCATGTGGAAGTCCACAGACCCAACCACCACACCACCTGCTGGCCCCATCCTTTTATTAAACACATTCTCTTTTTTTTTTTGGAGAGGTTTTTGCTATGGGGCATGTGCGCTCACCAGACAGACAGAAAGAGACAGAGAGACAGAAAGGGAGAAATCACCCTCCAGGGGGGATGGCCATGCCGCAATCCCTTCTCCTCCATTCTCCTCACAGGATCTTGGGCACGCACGCACATGCGCCCGGCCTGAGTTTAAGTCACCTGGTCTGGGACTCAGACTGCAGTCAACTACATGGGAGTCCAGCGACATAGCCATTATGCCAACTGCTGGTCCCTTGGCATGAGTTTTTTAATATATTTTTTGAGATATTTTTGCTACAGGGCACGTGTGCTCTCCAGAAAGACAGACAAAGTGAGAAATCAGCTCCCCAGGGGATGGCCACGCCACAATCCATCCTCCTCTTGGGATCTTGGGTGCACACACGTGTGCCCAGCATGAGGGTTTTGTTTTGTTTTGTTTTGTTTTGTTTTAATTTGAACAGAGAGGGACAGAGTGAGAGAGAGAGAGAGAGAGAGAGAGAGCGGAGACAGGTGGCGTGGTGGTTAAGGTGTTGGACACTCCCGCATGGCCAACCATGGTTCGAGTCCCAGAACTGATGGCTTGTTTTCTCTCCCTCTCTCTCTGTCTCTGTCTCTCTCTGGTCAAATTAAAATAAATGCATAAATAAATAAAATTTTTAAAAAGAGAGAGAGAGGGGAAAGTGAAGATGGACGCCACCAGGTCCAGGACTTGAATCGTAGTTGGTCACATGGGAATCCACCATTCTTAACCACCAACATGTGTGTGAGTTAAAATGCCGATGTGTTTTAATCCACCCGGGACTTGAACCACAGTCAACTAAGTGAGCGTCCAGCGATATAGTCATTACGCTGCCTGCTGGTCCCCAATACCACCTCATCCTATGTAAGGGACTTGAGTATCACGAATTTCGATGTTTGCGCGTGCCCTGGGACCGACCCCCGTGGGCACCGACAGGTGGCCGTACTGCTGGTCCCCCAGGAGTCGTGCAGGGCCTCTCTCCGTCCCGACACAGAGCTGAGCGCTGCACTGTCTCCCGGGCCGTCAGAGCGTGTCTGTGAGATGGAACCCACTTTCCGTCCGATCCAGGGATGCGAGTCTGGCTCGTACCACTCGCTAGCTGTGTGAACGCGGGCCAGCAATGCAGGGTGGTTCAGAAGCTAAATTAAAATAAGGATGATAGGGCAGCCAGTGGCACGTGGCTGGACCCCACATGGCCAAATGCCTGGTTCGAGTCCCAAAACTGGCAGCTTGAAAGCTACACTGGGCATGTGTGCATGCGTGCCCTAAGTCCCAAAACAGAGAACTGGAGAAGGCGTTGTGGCATTGCCAGCCCAGGGGGTGCTTTCCCGCTTTCACTCTGTCTGTCTGTCTGTCTCCTCCAGTGAGCACACCCGCCCTCTAGCAAAGGAAAGTGGGGAGGGGGTGGGCCAGCCATGGCGGCGTGGCGGCTACACGACCCCGTGCTCACGCTGCACAGGAAGGGGGGCTTGCATCCTGGTCTCGCCATGCACACCAGGGGCCAGGATGCATGAGCTGGCTGGCTAGGCTGGGTGTGGAGACCCTGTTGGCTGTTCCCCCCTACCATGGAAGAAATGAAATCCGATAAAGACGATGAAATGATTCATAAACAGTAAGTGGCGTCCAAGTGCCGAGCGTCGTCTTGTGAGGGCCCAGGAAGCTGGACTCTGGCCGTCCTTCCTGTCTGCAGGTGTGAGAGCGTCCTGCCGGACGCCTTCAGCGAGCACCTGGCCATGGCGCTGCGCACCAACCGCAGTCTGGTGGAGCTGGTGTTGTACCGCAGCCCCCTGGGCGGCCGCGGGGTGAGGCTGCTCTGCCAGGGACTCGGGCACCCCGGCTGCAGGCTGCAGAACCTGAGGTGAGTCCAGGCTGGGCCGGG